AGGGTTACATCTCATTGCATGATTTCAAAAATCAGAATCACGACTGGAACATTCCCCCTTTTCTTGCTAATTTTTTTTTTACTCAGAGATGCGGCAACCCTTGTGAATGGGATGACATATCACATTCACTAATCTATTTTACATCGAAACTTACACCTTCAGCCAATCACACATACCTATTTTTGCTTAAAATAGCACAGAGGGAAAATCTGCTGGGTACTCTAGATTAACATTAAATATTAAAAACGGTTTAACTCTAAATGGAGAAAAGTGCCAGAGATGAAGCACTTACAGTGCCTATAGTGTACCTTTAAATAGACCCATAAGCAGACAGGTGGCATAGTAAGAAAAAAAAAAAAAAAACAATAAATGAGGCTTCTACATCTCACTAAGCTAGGCCACGGCAAATGTTTTAATTAGATGTGAGCACACAAATAACTCTAAATATTGCCAATACTTATTATATATCCTCTTACTGTCTGTATTAATCCAAGGTAACCACACAGTTCAAGAACAGTCTATCAAGCCTAATAGAAATCTTAATGTCAAAGGAACCATCATACATCAGATGTATCAAACCAAATAATGCCAAACAGGCAGGTGAGGACAAATGAAAACAATGACTTGTGTTTATGCATCCAATTTATATTTTGTATGGACATAAAGTACCGGTACTCACTTTTATAGCTACTTGATAACTGGAAATAGTGAAATTATAAATTGCAAACATTATATAATCATGAGATTTTAGGCTACTTTTGGCCTTGGGGGTCGAGAACAATACATAGTGCAGTTTGTCACTAAACCAGCATAATCTCCCACCCCACTCCCTTTCTTAATTTTATATGAAATAGATGATTTTACTGACCTGTTACTAGCGCGGTGCTGTTCTCCTCATGGCAGGCTCTGCCCCCCAATACCCTCTTTGCTGAGATCATCAGACTTGATGATCTCAAACAATCCAATGCTTTTCCATAGGAAGGCATTGGGAAGCAATCTCTCATGTGTGGCAAGACACTGCACCAATCAAAGTCTCCTCATAGAGATGCATTGAATCAATGCACCTCTATGAGGAACGTTCAGTGCCTTCATGCACGGTGTGGAGATGCTGAACATCAGTGCTGCCCAATCTGCCCAATACCTTCAGGATCATCCATAGACCAACTCCATTGATGCATAAAGCATTTCCCAACATTTCCTTCTAGCAAGGACTTAGGCTTTCAATATAGGATAAAGTATTCCTTACTTTGTCTATTATATATTTTGTTTGTGTTGGAATTTTAATGAAATTATGGCACAGTCATAACAATTGTATGTGTATGTAACACTTAAATAGTGATATGAAGACAGAGCACCATTAGAGGAACACTATAACGTCAGGAACACAAACATGTATTCCTGACCCTATCAAAACCACCATCTAGCCCCATCTTGCTTGGCTGACATCATGAGATGTTGTTCTCTGAGCCAATAGACATGCTTTCCATTGGATGGGACTCTCAAGGAGGCAGATCAGGGGCAGAGCCAGCACAAGCCAAACATAGCCCTGGCCAATCAGCATCTCCTCATAGAGATGCATTGAATCAATACATCTCCATGAGGAAAGTTCAGTGTCTGCACTGCCCCAGGAAGCCATCTGAACAGTGACCAGTGGAGGTATTACTAGGCTGTAATGTAAGCACTGCATTTTCTCTGAAAAGACAGTGTTTAAAGCAAAAAGCCTGAAGGGATTGATTATACTTACTAGAACAAATGAAATAAGCTCTAGTTGTTCTGGTGACTATAGTGTCCCTTTAAAGTATGAGAATGCTTTTCTTACATGATATAGTGGTAAGTCAATATGTGAAAAGACAATGCAAGACAGTATGCCAGCCTAAGGAAAATTAATACAAAACTACACTATGGTCTTAAGAAAACCTTAATATAAAGAAAGGTTGTTTAACACAAGCATGTCACCAATTAGTACTTCACAAGCTTGATTATTCTCTTATTATAACTTCAATCGTATCTTGCCAATTGCTCCATATCTACCAATCACTGTCTTACCTTATGAGTCTTCTCTAAATGGCCCTCTTCAATACCAATTTTCCATTACATATCTTCTCTTTTTTCCAATTATTGTGCTCAACAGTATTGTGTGTGTTTATATAACCATAACAAGTAACATTAAGTGAGTTACTTCAGATCCAAGAGTAAAATGCTAACTGTAGAATTTCTGTTTTGCTTGTTGGTAACAGGAAAGTTTGATGATGTAGTGATCTGTCATCAGGTCAAATACCTGGGTCTGATGGAGCACTTAAGGGTCAGAAGAGCAGGATTCGCTTACCGCAGGAAGTACGAGATATTCTTGCAGAGGTAACATTTTATGTGTGACACAGATATACATATTCACAGAAACACAAATATAAGGATACTCACTGACAAACACACACAAACACAAACACTGCCAGACACGTACAAACTGATGGGGCTCTTTGGTTATTGTGAACAGGGCTCTGGGCAGATGTCTTGTGAGAGACACTCAGTCATGGCTTTCACCACATCTATGCCCTCTGGAGAGAAAATATTTAGTAGAACCAGATGCCTTTGCCATGCATTTGGTGCCTGTCCTATTGTACCTCTGTACCTCGATCACAGATCTGCAATGTGGTCCGGTTATTGGATATCCCAACCAAACAACTTGTTTTACAGGACTCCAGGGATCTTAAATGCATGAGAGGAGATCAATTTATAATTTTAGCCATATTGCTAACAACATATGTTGCCTAATCACATTATTTATCCTTTAGATACAAATCATTATGTCCAGAAACTTGGCCCAACTGGAATGGTCCTGCTCGGGAAGGAGTAGAAAGACTGGTGAAGCATCTTGGTTACCAATCCAATGAATATAAACTAGGAAGGTAATTCTTATCCAAAACAATAAGTGCAGCTCCAAGTTAACAAATCTGTTAATTACGTTATGCGGAGCATTAGTGTCCAATTATCAGTTTAATTTCATATTTGCAAACAAATATCAGGTAAAAAGGTTATCAGGTAAAAAACTGTGTGAATGTGACATGTAAACTAGTATTATGAGAAAACGGAAAAAATTTAGAAAAACTCAGTAGCTTGCCCTTTGGTAAATCCCCGCTGAGGTCTCAAAATAGTTTTTGCTCACTTGTGCCATTACAGAGAGAACAAATCTGAAGCATATCAGACTAATCCCATCTGTACGGGCAGTCCAGAACCAAAATGCCAGCAAGTTTTCTCTGCACAAGAGATACAGCAGCCCCAGACTATTGTTTCGGTCTTTTTTGGGCCACATCAGTGAAGTGTAGCTGATAACCCTCTTGGCATTATATAGTATTTTGAGAATACTATAACTACAATCTAGTACACAGTGCTAAAAAGAAAGACAATATTTTTTTTGTAAAGAAAGCTAAAGCAAATAAAGTCTATTTCAACTTTTTTTTTTTTTTTTAATGAAATTCTTATGATATGTATTATGTGCTAATACAGGCTTAAAATGTCAAGTACTACGCTACTAACCAACCTTAAAAGTTACTCGCCACTACATGCTTTGTGATTCACAAGAATAAACTTTCACCAGTGGCGTGTGGAAATTTTGGCCCCTATACTAATAAAATAGATTGGGCCCTGTAGTGAAAATAGATTGGTTAATCAAATCTTCAATATTCATGGTTGCTCTAATATCTTAATATCTGTGTGATCTCTATCTGGTATTTTTTAACGTACTTAGAATTTTTATGTTTGCAATAATGTGACATCGATCCCAGTTGAAGTTATTCACTACCTTGGTCTCTAAATTCTCTGCTGGTTGGTTAGATGCAGTAGGCACAACTCCTACAGTTTAATAAAAACATTGTTTATTGCATAAACTACATTCTCTAGCCTGCCATCTAAATATTGTTTTATTTTTGTTTTTTTAGAACAAAGCTGTTTATACGTTTTCCTCGCACATTATTTGCCACTGTGGATTCTTTTGAAATAAAAAAGCATCAGCTGGGTAATGTAAAATAATTTAGCCTTCATTTTCTTGTATCGACTAATTATATTGTATCTTGTCAGTCATTCTGGAATACTGATTGTGCATAATCTCTTGTCACTGCATAGAGATCTTAAATTTATATAGATACAGATATCAACCTAAGAAATTTGTGACATAAATCTTACAGCAGTATAGACAGATAGCATGGTCTCCTGATATGTCTGCAGACAAGGAGTACCAAAGCTGTACTCCTCCAATGGAGTCTGACATCCTATTTTTGTCTTTTTAAAGCATATTAACCATTGCATGCTGATTAGAGATATCAAGATGACATTGAATATATACATTTGCTTTAGCAATAGTTCTGTTGTAATGAGCTTTGTAGATGAAGATGAGTGGTTTAAAGGATGCATAGTATTTGGTGCATTGTCTATGATGCGGTTGAATGCCCTTTTCTCATTTATGATGTGAGTACTATTTCTATTTTAAACGCACACAGCAGGAAACATTATCCCTCAATATAAAAATATTGAATATTTAAGAATTATGCTTATGCACATTATATTTTATGTATGAGATTATAATTTTAGCAAATTAAAGAGTACATTTCAGTCTCATCAATGTTTTGTTTGCGCTATTAAAGGAAGGTACACCTCCTGTAACCCTGACCCTAAATCATAGTTGGGTGCAGAACATTTCATTAAAATGTGCACCTGGGATATACTGAAATTTAAACCTTCAAGGGGTCTTTTCTTTTCAATCCATCAAACAAATGTAAATGAAGCTATTTTTTATTTTTATTGAAAAGATTTTTTGACAGTGGTAACAGCATACAAAATATAACAAAACGTGACAACACGTTTCTTTTTCCAAGTTATAAAATTACTAAGCTAAAGATTTACAATCATTTACAATTGTTAAATCGTTTTTAAAAAAAAACAGTAAAACTTCAATGACATATTGTGATAGGTCCACTGCATTCTCTATATGAAAAGAAAAGATAACTAATCTTTCATTCAGCCACTATCATACTATGTCCTGGTATTGAGGTGATAAAAGAAGAGAGAGGAGTGTAATTCCACCAAGGAGTTATAATTAGTTCTATATTGCCTGCACGGAGCCCAGATTTCCATGTATTTATCCAATTGATATCTTTCATAATAAAAGCAACCTCCATTCTATATTGAAAATCAATTTGTCGTAATATTTCTGCCATAATGGTTTACCTTTAATTCTCCAGTTACGGGCAATACATATTTTTACTGCTAACATTATATGAACTATTAAACATAAATGCAGCTTTTCTAACTTAGTATATAAGTGGACATCAGCATGGGTGACGTGGATATTTGATGTTTGAATCAGCGTGTTCATGGTCACACCTAGCACACTCCTTGCAGAGACTGAGCCTGCGCAGGTTAAAAAAACTTTATTCGACAATCACTGTGGATACAAAATTAGAACAGTAAAAATGTGGATCTTCACACAAATTGTCTTCTACTCCATCCAATATAAGTCTAGAAATAAATGTATCTATAATAAAGTGTTCCTGCTACTTATCCTGCATATAATGTTAATGAATTCAAGGGTATGACCTTGCTTTCTAATTCTATATATGTTAATCAGGGGACCTGAAATGCATCCATAAAAATATGTTAATATTCTAAATTAGCATATTTTGTTTGTGCTTTTAGTTTCAAAAATCCAGGCCAAATACAAAGGGTGTTTAGGAAAAAGAGCTTTTCTGAAACAGAAGAAAGCAGGTACTGTTATTTTTGCATGTCTGCCTGTATGTTACGTATTAGCACATTTGTGCAGTACATATATTTTAACATCACTGTGTACTTTTGATATTTTCTTACCATTCAGAATAATTTGCATATTATTGTTTATACATTACTATGAATCTGTACATTATAACCTATAACATTTATTAATGTATGCATTTATGGGCAATCGCAATTTAGATTTCTTTTTTTTAATGTGTTGGTGTTGGATTGTACTATTTGATTTAGATTTAAATGTAATTGACGGGGGACTTTCCATAGAAAATTGTTCCGTGGGTATTTTGAGTAGAGTGTCGTGCAATTCTTCTAATAGTTTGGAAAATTCTTCGGGAAACATGGATGCCTTCAATATACCTACTGAATATGAAATAGTATGATTCATTTATGAGGAAAATTTCTCCAGTCCAGACGTATTGTAAATCTGCGAAAACCAAACCATCTTGCTGGGATGCATCCTCAGGTTGCAAATGGCAAATACGCCACCTTGATGATGCTTCAATGATAGTATGTCCCTGCATTTCTATGCTCTTATTAGGCTCTCCATCCTGGCAATAAGATAGTTCAGCCGAGTAAGTAGACACTTCCACCTAGTAAGCCATACCCTCTCCCAACATTTAAATACTATCACCTACTATGACATACATCTACCCAACCACAAAATACACCTGCCAGCCATTAGATAATCCCTGCCAGCAATGAGACATTACCTCTCAGTATATGTAGTTCACACACATTTCTCACCTTCCATTTACTACTGACTTAGTCCATCTAACAAGGTTCATTGTGCTACAGACATTGTAGATAACTGGGCTTACGAGGTCTGTCATGGAGAGTCTGTCCTGTCCCCCTTTTGGAATTCATGATTTCTTCTTTTTTTTCTCTGTCTGGCTATAATGTCATTCTTAGTGAGTGTGCAGTTATAATTGGAATTGATACAATCAAGAATTTGTCTCTAGGTACTGTTTTAACTGCCATTTGAGTTGGTCCTAACCAGCCTTCTATTTGGCTTGACATAATGTTATATAACACCATCCACCAAAGCCTCGAGGTCAGCTGGACTGACCTTGTGCTTTCATTTTTAGTTTAACTTGGGCTCCATTTTTTTACTTAATTTGTGGTACCAAAAGAGCAAATATGTTGAATGGCAGGATGAATGGACAGTCAGGATCGCAAAAGACATTTTGGGTCTCAGAACACTAAGAGCACTAGTATCAGGCAGATAGAATATCTCGGCTCAGAATATACTACGGGTAATGGTGAGAAGTGATAGTATGAATAATAAAACTGCACACATGAGGGAATGAGGGAAGGATATGAAAACTTAAATAGCAACAATGTTCGCTTGTGGGATTACTCATGAATCTTTAAACAGCTCATAGTGACTGATACATCGACATGCAAGTGAGAAACCATAAAACTCTAAAATAACTTTTATATTTACAATCAAATCTAAATGAGGGTGTAAGATTTTTTATAAGCAAGGTGTGAGCTACAGCTACAGACCAAAATACTTGAGTTGGACAGTGATATAATAGAATACAGTATGTTTATGTAAATTAATAAATATATTTGAAATGTATATGAACTGTTTATTAGGCATGTGCATGGGAAAAAATTTTGGTTCGGTTCAGCATTCCGAAATTCATGACTTCGGCAATTCGACACTTCGGCACTTCAACACTTTGGAACGTCGGTAACTTCAGCACTTCGACACTTCGGAACTTCTCTTGCAGCCGCTCGGTAGATAACTCCCTAATTCCCATGTTATTAGAGAGTTATCTACCAAAAGGCTGAAAGACCTAAATTGGTCTTTCAGCCAAATTTACAAATACTAAGTAAAGATTACTTAGTATTAGTAAATTATACCCCTACTCGCTATACCGCGAGTAGGGGCATGTCTAGTAAACATTGAGCAGCCTGTGGTTTCTTAATCCACCAATCAGAGAGTTATGAGTCAAATTACACAGTGTGGGAAAATTCCAAAGAACTTTCCCACACTGTGTAAAATGACACAGAGTTTCAAGCCAACCAATCAGAGTGCTGTGACAGGTAAATTTAGAGACTTACCTGTCAGTCTCTTCATTTACCTGTCAGAGCACTCTGATTGGATGGCTTAAACCCACCAATCAGAGTACTCTGAGCCTAATTGCAGGGCGGGGGAAGGCTTAATAAGCCTTCCCCCGCCCTGCAGAGCTCAGTCTGCGCGGAGCCCTTCATGGGTAAAGAATAATTATTTTTTTTGCACTCTTTTCTTTTTTTTTAAGTGCGTCGGTTATTATGGCTTTTTATTTGGCCTTTTTTGGGGCTGAAAAAAGATTTTAGAAGAAAGAAAACATGAAATGGTAAGTTTTATTATTTTACAGGTACTTAGTTATATGGTCCCTACTTATTATTTTTAGGGTGAGGGGGGTAGGTAGGGGTTAATTTTTGGGGGGAGGAGGGTGACTAGGGGTTTGGGGACCCCTAGTCACCTGGGGAAGGGGGGGTAATTATTTATTTAGGGCCCCACCCGCCGCTCAGGGGTGGGGGCCAGGGGGAAGGACATTAGGTCCCCCCCCAATTAGTATTTAGGGTCCCCACCCACCGCTCAGGGGTGGGGGCCATGGGGGAGGACATTAGGTACCCCCCCTCATTCTAATTTAGGGCCCCCACCCACCGCTTAGGGGAGGGGGCCAGGGGGAGGACATTAGGTCCCCCCCTTCATTCTAATTTAGGGCCCCCACCCACCGCTCAAGGGTGGGGGCCAGGGGGCAGGACATTAGGTCCCCCCCAATTAGTATTTAGGGCCCCCACCCACCGCTCAGGGGTGGGGGCCAGAGGGGAGGACATTAGGTTCCCCCCTCATTCTAATTTAGGGCCCCCACCCACCGCTGTAAGTGTTGCAAATGCCCCCAGCTGAACCCTGGCTATGTTTGTATACTTTTTACTTAAACTTGTATACGGTGTAACATTCTTCTTCTTCCACTGGGTAAGTATATTAGTACTTAGGCAATACTGTGCTTCGGCAACTTCGGCACTTCAGAACTTCGGCAATTCGACACTTCGGAAATTCTGTATTTTTGGAACTTCGGGACCTCGGCAATTGGCAACACTACACTAGTTGGGATGGGGTCAGAATAGTCATAGTCATTGTTTGTGGAGGGATAGCAATATTTTGGAGGGTTGTGAGACTAAATGGAGCTAATATATATTTATATACAAACCAAAGTAGAAATGAGAGCACTTTGTGAAAGAAATTTTTTTATTAAATTTGCATGAAAAAAATCAATGTTTCGACCAATATGGTCTTTATCTATTATAGATTGTCAGAATATTGCATTGTTGTTTATATAAATATATTGATGTTTTATTATTTTTTAATATGAATTAAAAGTTAAATTTTACCATACCTCAAAGACCCTGGAGTGCTTTCCGTTTACTGGGATTTCTACTAATTTTGCTGGATCAGCACCGGGCAATATCGTGATTATCACCAGGAGTGCAAGCATATTGGATTTAGTGTATATATATATATATATATATATATATATATACACACATATACACACACATGTTACACACACACATATTTACAAGCAATTCCCTTTCTAGCAGTTCACCTTCTGTCCATAGTTTCACATGAAGTATATTACAAAATAGAATATTTGTTTTCTAAATTAACTTTTTTTAACACAAATATTTTGCAAGTCAATTATCAATTTAAAATAGCCCATTATTAATAGAATTGTGTTATTACTAGCTAGTTTTATTATCTGGCATAAATATATAAAAACCATAAGCCACATTGAAGTGCATGTGTAAAATTTCTGAGAAATTGATCATGTTGTGGAATACTGGAGAAAGGGTTAAGAGGCACAAAGCTGAAAAATAAAATGTACAGATGATAATTTAGGCCAAGATGTATCAAATGCCTAAAATGTGTGGAAGTGCACTTTTCTGCAGTTGCCTGAGTGTCAATTAGCACATTTAGAGCATCACATGACAATGACTTTGCTCTATTTGAACACAGATGTGGTCCAGGCACTCAGGATTCAATTCAACAGCAGATTTATAAGAAACAAGTGCAACGTTTCGATCTCAGAAAGATATTTCTCAAGCTGTACAACGTTTCGATCTCAGAGAGATCTTTTGCAAGCTGTGCAACGTTTCGATCTCAGAGAGATCTTTCTCAAGCTGCGCAATGTTTTGATCTCAGAAAGATATTTCTCAAGCTGTGCAACGTTTCGATCTCAGAGAGATCTTTCTCAAGCTGTGCAACGTTTGATCTCACAGAGATCTCTTTCTCAAGCTGGGCAATGTTTCGATCTCAGAGAGATCTTTTGCAAGCTGTGCAACGTTTCGATCTCAGAGAGATCTTTCTCAAGCTGTGCAACGTTTCGATCTCAGAGAGATCTTTCTCAAGCTGTGCAACGTTTCGATCTCAGAGAGATCTTTCTCAAGCTGTGCAACGT